TTGGTAACCATAAGTTTGTTTTCTACAGAACCTGTATTTTCTAATTACAGGTCCATGATCCTTCTGGTTCACCTCACTAAAGATGCTGCTAACCTGCCATCAGAAGACACTTGTTTTGTGAGGTTTTCCAGGAATGGGGATGGATCTGCACTGATTATACATATGACTAACAGCAAACCACTCTGAGGTCGGCTGCCGGTCCCTGGGTGTGAAGGAGGGTGAGGACTGGTCCGCAGAAGGATCTCAGTAATATTTTCTTGTTCTTGTCCCTTCAGCCCTTGGACAGTCACTACCAACCACAGCCACCAAGTGCCATGTTGAGCAGTTTCATACACACAATATGATTTCATATTTCATATCAAAGATAATTACCCATTTTACAGATGAAGAAACTGAGGTTGAGTAAGTTTAAGTAACTCTCCAGAGGTCACTCAGTATCGGAATGAGGATTAAATTAATAGTGTATTCATTTGCACTTTTTGACATGCCATTTTGTGATCACTGCCAAATAATTTTTCACACCCTGTGATTTTTTTTTCTTTCTTTGGTCTTTTTTTTCCCTTAGGGTTTATAATTAAGGGCCTACGTTCAACCTTCTCATTCTTCGTACTCTACCATTGACTAGCTGTGTGACTCTGGTCCTGACTCTCAGTCTCTGTTTGCTTATCTGGAAAAATAGAGATAGCAAGTATTCTCTCTCGCTAATTATTTTCCAAAACATATAATTCTCCAAATGTCGGTGACATGCTGCTGTGATGACTCTCCCTGCGCTTTCACAGTGTCTGACAACTCCCAGATGTCAGTAAACCCTTAGTTTCATTAAAAATTAACTCAGTTATCAGAGTGACCTCTGCATTTTAGAAGAAAATGGCTAAGAACGAGGAATTGGTCTCTTTATCTTTTTTTTTTCAGTTGAATTTGATCTCACAAACGTGAAACAGTGCCTATTTTTCAGTCTCCCTTTCAGCTTTCTTATTCATTCCCTGTGACTGACCCAGAACCCATCCCTGGGCAGCAGGAGAGGCGAGGGGCTGTGCAGACTGTCAGGAACGCGCAGAGAGATGGAAGGGAATCTAGCAAGCCTCTGTCCTGGGCTAGATCCTGTGATCTGGGGTAGGTGTGTATGCTTATCACTGAACCCTCGCGTGGGAGTGAATGGTTGAAAATGCTTGCAAAAACAACGGGGAGGGTCAGATACGGACAAACAGCAAAGTAACAGCTTCTGGAAATTAAGCATCATGCTTTCTAAAATTATTTCATAATTATTGCCAACGTCCCATCATTCCAATCCAGCCTCTGCAGTAGAAAGAGAACGCAGGGAACCAATATCTAGGAAGCCTTCTTCCCCTGCCCGATTTGAAAAGTTGCATTCCTTGTGTAGTTTCTGGTCTGACTTACTTACTTCATGGTACTGGGTGCTGGGAGAGAGGTAGCAAATTCCCCCTCGCCTCTCCGAAAACCATGAGCCTGGCCTACTTTGCTTGTCTCTGGATAAAATCTGCTTTTAGTGTCCGCAGGATGGTCCGTGTGAAAGGCTCCCATCAGGCTACAGCACTGAGTCTTAACTAGAAGCTCCTGGGAGCAGCCAATCAGCAGTGTGCAAACCCTCCCCAGCAATGAACTTTGCTGATCACCGTGTGGGCACTGCCTCTAGCAGGTTGGCTGGGGAAGTGAAATGTCAGGAAGGTGGTGAGAGCAAGAGAGAGAGAGAGGGAAAGAAAGCAGTTTGGAAATCAAAACAAAATTAATGTAAATAAATTCACAGAAAAAGGCATTTTATAAAAAGAAAGAAAGAAATTAAATAATACAGATATTTCAGATCTAAATGTGTCATTTATAAAGCATGTAAATGGTAAGCCTATCCTACACAGAGCTACACAGAACTTTTAAAATAAAAAGCCAACATACGGCGAAGTATTTGTTTAAACACAAATCGAGGGCAAAGAGAGCTCTGTTTGTGAAATGTTAAAGAAAAGCCTGAAAAATAGAAATAAAATAAGAACATTAAAAAAAACCCATGAAAGTCAAGGAAGATCTAATAAAGTAAACAAGGAGTAGGAAAAAAGGCGAACAAAACAAATGGCGTCCCTAAGTCTCGAGAGAGAAAACTGATTGTCCCACACTTCCTAGGACCTGAAGGCACCTGTTGTTTTCACCCCTCCCTGCTTTCCCCAGACACACCTATAACCGTCTTCCCTCCAACACACTCACACCAAGAGCCATCCAAATTTTGGACTTCAAACCTAACTTTTTTTTCTTTCATGCTGGTACTTTTTACTTTTTTCATTTTGCCTCTTACTTTAGCCAAAAATATCTGCTCCACCGTTGCCTTTTCCTGTCGGGGATGGACTCCCATGGGCTAGATACTGATCTAAAGCTTGCAGACTCCCTGTCTTGGTGCAATCTTTCAGACATTCTTTTCTCCCAGGTGATGTTTTAAACTTCTGCTCCTTCTGTCTGATTCTCCAATGTATTTTCTCCATGAACCCCAGAGATGTTTAAAGTCTTAACTGTATGTACAGCCTGTTTTGTTAACATTTAATTGGAATGAGTGGTCTTATTTTTGACTCTTCTATGATCTCAGACATAAAATATAACTGGTGTCAATTCCCACACCATTCAGATAAAGCAAAACATGGAAAAGAGCCACAGAACCAGGAGAGACTGAAGGCTTGCTAAGTAAAACTGTCTCTTTAGATCCATATCTCACAAAACAAAGTGATGGGTTACCTGATTCTGATCACTCAACCAGGAGGTACCACAGTTCTTTAGCCTATAGGTACTTCAAAATGCTTTAAGCTAGAATTCTAGATATATAGAAAATCTTTCTCCTGGATCTGTTGAAGTCAAGAGTCATTTTTTTCCCTCATATTTTATACCTCCTGGTATAAATCAACACATATGGATTAATCATATTTCTCCTTAGGAGAGGAGACAGTTGGGTTAATGTCAGATTGTGAGATTTATGTAACCCAAATATTTACTCTTTACCTTACGCTTACTTAGGTGATAGAAAGGATATCAAAATGTATATTTCAGTAAAGTGATAAATACATAACTTGAGACGTAAATGCTAAGTCTTTACCCTAAAATCACTTAGAGGGTTTAAACACATTAAGTTTCTAATAGAAGAATTCAGAAATATCAAAATCTACCAAAATAATCATTTTAACATACAACATGGATCTTAAAGCATTTGTATATGTGTGTATGATACTGATAAGTACAGTTACTTAAAGTAGAATATCATATAGCATCAAACACTTCAAAAGAAGATAAATACTCTGGAATTAAGACAGGAGAAACACATATGGTCAGGGTGAAATATTTGTCTTAAGCCTCTTGTTATCCTAGCACGGACATAAACATTGGAAAGCACTGCTTCTCAAATGAGAGCTAAACTAATTATTAGATTATAATATCTGATAATAATCCAATGTTTTAAAAATAGAGCCATGTTTGCCTACCAAATTTTGGTGTCGGTCAAAGAATCAACCTCTTTGCCTAAATTGCTTTTGCTCTATGCAGGTAAATAGCATCTGTCAAGAGTAAAGACAAAATTAGAACTAAAGACACAAGGGAAGGTTAGTAATGGTGACACTTCCATTGCCAACACTAACTACTTGTTTGATCAGCTTCCTCGCCTTAAATTTTTACTTAGCAAGAAGTATATTTCTTTCTTATATCAAATATGTGGATTTTATGATCTGGAACCTCAAGTAGTAATTTTTACGTGATGACTTATATAAACAAGGCATAGGATCTCAAGTTAAATAATTATCGTCTTTTACAAAAGATGAGGCCCTGATTCATTAAATCAAATAAAGATATAGACTCTAGTTTCATGTCTCTTCCCTTTTATACTTAACATATACTAAAGGTGCTCTCATAATTCACATTGTACCAAGGGAAAAGTTTAAACAGAGATAGGCTAAGGGACTGTTCCCAGGTGACAACGTTTACAACGGCAGGAAAGATAGGAGGAATATGACAAAAAATGCAAACTCTTACCCCGAGGTTCCCAGGCTGAGCTATATGATGCCCCATCTGTTCAGCTTCAAATAAGAAGAATCATGAAATGTCTTAAAAACCAGCTGAGCAATTAGAATTCATTGATACTGGATTACCACATAATTCAAAGGCTTGCATTGTGATTTCTTTAAAAAACAATACTCTTTACCAAGTGCCTATTAAGTGCTTAAGCACTTGGGATCCCGTTTGGTCTTTACTGCCCCCACATTACAGATGGGCAAACAGGGCAGGTGAAGCAAACTGGCTTTTGCCCCGTGTCAGAACCAGGAGTTGGACCTGGTCTGTTCCTGTGGTCCAGCGCCTCACAAAGCCCTGGAAATTGCTCTTCTGCAAGAAGCTTCTAATGTATTTTTTAAAATTCCTTTTGTGGTGATAAAGAAATTTGGTTCCACCTAATAATTTATCTTTTGGATTCTTTGTTACCAATTTATTGTTCTCTTCCCAGATTTAATTCAGTCTTTTGACAGATGACCCAGTGACTTGGTTCCCACTCGTAAGTCCCTCCTAAAGATTCACAGGTAGGCAGCTTTTCCTTTTTCTCAAACAGGACAGATGTATAGAATAAATAAACACAAATGTTTCCATCCCCTCCAAAAAGAGAGCTAAGTGTACTAATCACCTTTATTTTTTCTCTCTCCACATTGTATCACATTCCTTGAATATATTCCTCATAGATTTGTTTCTTCTTTGATTGATGGGAGCTGTTTATGCAGCCCAGTATTTTTTGAACACATTGAGGGGGCATGAAAATATTATTTTTAAGCATAGCCCCGGGTCACATCTGGGTGGACAAAATGAGCCACTTGTTAAAGGAGACTCTTCCTGTGCCGCGTCCACTTTCTTTCAAAGGGCTCCCCCTGCGGCCAGGGTTGAGGGCTTTACTCCCTCTCCGCCCCTGTCTGCACGGCTTTTCATTCCCGGTGACTGAAAATTAAAGGCCCCCACGTGGCCGCTGCCACTCAGCTCACAAGGAACTTGGACTGGAAGCGACTCTTCGGAGAAAGCCCTTCAGGGAAGTCCCGGGGACAAGAGGCCGACCGAAGGAATCGGGCCTCTGCCCCCAGCGCCCCCAGCGGCCCCCGAGAGAGCGCCGGCCGGGCCTCTGACCGTCCCACAAGCCCCGACGGCCGCTTACCCGTCTCAGCGTCTCCCCGGGGCCCCGGCGGCGCGCGGTAACAGCAGTCCAAGAAGATGACATAGTTCAAAGCATTGAAGAGCAGCCCGACCAGTCCGGCGCTGAGCACCAGCAGCGGCGCCTGCGTCTTCTGGGGGCTGATGTACCTTTTGACGCCTTCAACCAGGATGCTGAACATCAGGGCCACGGCGAAAACGGAGTTGCCGAAGGCCCCCAGGACGTCCGCGCGCAGGAGGCCGAACGTGCCCTTGCTGTGCCGGCGGATGCTGCTGGCCCGCACGCCCGCGAGCCCGACGACCATGGAGACCAGGTGGGAAAGGACCGCGAAGGCATCAGACGCCAAGGAGAGGGAGTTGCCGATGTGCGCGATCACCAGCTCCATCACGAAGAGGAGGATGCTGACGACGCACATGAGGATTAAACGGAAGCTTCTCCCCGAGTACCGGCCCATGGCGCCCGGCTCGGCTCCGCGCTGTCCCCGTCCCCGGCCTGGGGAGTCTGAGCTCGGCGGGGAGCAGGTCCAGATGCAGTGGCGACAGCTCCTGCGTAACTCTCCCCTTCAGCCTGGCAGCGCTTGTCACATTTGAGAATCACCTTTTACAGGCTGCTGTAAAGTCATAAAACAGTTTAAAGGGCAATTAAGCAAGAGATGTCACGTGAGCGGGGACCTGGGGGGAAATCACTGACTTCAGATACGAACTTGAGGGGTTTCTCTTGTTCATTTGTTTGTGAGCTTAGCTGGAGAAGTCAGGAGCCTCTGTGTCGGAATCATGCCACGCTCCCCGTGGCTGTGGCCCTCTCACTTTCCACACTCCGTGTTTGCAGTGACTGCTCTGGTGTTTGACGTAAACAGTCATATCTTGTCAACCTGGTGCGTAAATGGTTTTGAATGCTGTTCACTGAATGGAACAGGGAATATTCTAGGGGTCACTAATCCAGAGATTAGAGCTACAGTTAGTGAAAGCCAGGGAAGAAGCTGGGTGATTTTTTTCTGCTGCCTTGCCCACTGATCTGGGATAAACAGACTTCCACACATCCTCCATAAGTAAGAAAAACATTCCTCGTGTTCAGGAAAGAACTACCTTTACACTGGAGGAGCTAAAGACAAAATCCCAGTTAGTTTCAGGGAAAAAGCCAGCTTACAATGACTTGATTTCAGTGATGCAAGGACTTTTTTTTTTTTGGTTTGGTTTATTTTTAATCTGCTCATCTTTCACTTACAACCCTTAAAGCTTTATTTACCATTTCCCAAATGTTTAAAACAGTAGTGGCCTCTATTGTTACAGAATTAAAAGCTGTAAACTGTCTGAGATAAGCAAGGAAGTGAGAAAAAGTAGAAAAAGAAGAAGATATGAAGAAATAAGAGGGAAGGATCAACCAGGGAGGGAAAATAGGAGAGAAGGACTCTGAAGGCCATGGAAGAACGTTTCAAAGCGGAGGGAGAACCAGCTGGGTCAAACACTGAGAGGGTAAGAAACACGAGGACTGGAAGTGACTGGTTTAACCTGATGGAGGCCACTGGTGACCTTAGCAAGGGGGCAGACATGAAGTGGGCTCAGGAGAAGAGAGCAGAGAAATTGGAGACGGCATGTGCAGACAATTCTTGCAGTTTTACTGCGAAGCAAAAGGAAAATGGAGCCAGGAAAGGGTATTTTTAGTTTGGGGAGAAGACAGAGTATTTGCAAGGTAGTGGAGAGGTCCCGCAGAGAAAGGAGGTGTGATGACACAGAGGGGACAGTGGCTGAAGTGCCACCATTGAGAAGGCAAGAGGGAATGAGGGTTAGTGCACAAG